CAATTTATTTCAAGCCATACTATCTTCCCAAATCTAGTAGATATCATGCCTATAGGACCCCGTATTAACACTTAGGCAAGCCATAGGGTAATAACTATAAACTGAATCTGTTCTATTAATTATAACCAGCAGGCAGGCCTGATTCGAGCTTCTTATCTGAATTATGTACTAAATCAGTCTGCCTCAACCCTTAAGTTCTCTCATATTTGGTATTTAATCAGACCTTAACAGTATGTGAAAGTCATGCTAATTATGTGCTTTTCTGTTCAAGGAGGTGTAATTGAGCCTCTGTTTGTTTATATGCTTCCCCCTAAATGTGCAATATGTGTTTTGTATGTCACCTTAGATTTTTACCTTTTGAAACCTCAAATAAGCCCAATATCCCTCCCCTTTAGTATTAGTAGTCCTAAGTGCCTCCGGGACTGATACGATTGGGACGGGTAATAGCATGCAATAAGTAATCGAGCACCATTCCGTGATTTAATACCTTGACGGGGTGGGAATGGTAGATATGGATATGATGACCACGCGATAATGTCACGTGTAGCCCCTCATTGAGGAGTGATTACCGGACATTTGTAGGGGGTGATCCATATTTTTAATAAACCCAGGACCCTCCTCCCTCTATTTCTTTACCTCTTTTAGCAATTTCAACTCTTTCTTTTAAAAATTAGCTTTTCTAATTGTTCTTTCCAACTTTGTTTATTTGTAAACCATTATGTGAAAATCCCGTCTACATATTATTTGCACCTAAATTCACAATAATTATCTGGCCGGGAACCACATTAGTGGATTCTGAGGGGTGTCTAACACCTTCCCGTTAGGATAATTTCAAGCCCTTACCCTATCTCTGGTTGCTCAAATCAAAACCCCTTTGGTGTCCTAATGCACCCTAATCATTAGGTGGCGACTCTTCAAATGCAAACCCAGTTCCCAAAAGGAACGAGTTGTCCTTCCAAATGTCATAAACCCGATTTCGCGAGAAAAACGGGGCGCGACAATGCATAGGTCTGTACGTACATAATTCATCATATCTTCTCAGCCACTATGGGCAAAATCATCAACGTATACCAGCTGATCAGGTGGTGGTGCGTATATAACACCGTAACCTTTTCCCTTATCCCATATACATATATAGACATACATATATACGCGTATATAATGCTATCTGGTAATACAGAACATCATCAAGCCTCTGAGGGCATCCCATCATATCATCTCGGCCACTGTGGGCAAATCATCAACGTATACCAGCTGATCAGCTGGTGGTGCGTATGTAACGCCGTAATCTTTTCCCTTATCCCATATACATATATATCCACGTATATAACGCCATCTGGTCATGGGTCAGTGTGCATGTATAAATGTATGAAATGCATATGAAATACGTTAATAAAATCTCTCGGTACGTCTTAAGACTATTATGCCTCTGATTAATATAATGAAATAAACTTTACCAACTTACGTATTTTTGAGACCCATGAACAGATGATAGAATAATATGACACATGAGAGAATAAGAATATACACATCTCTAGCATTTCTACGAATAGAGTAATTTATGAAAGTTGTGCAATTGCTCGTTTCGTTTGAGTTGTATAGATCATGGAAGAGACTAAAAAAAGAATGCAAAAACATCATGTACACAAATAGATGCATAGAGTTCAGGGAAAGAGATAGAGAGGTAATGTAGGAAGGAAGAAGTAATTTACCACATCCAGATGTGCTCCTTTCAGTTGTCTCATCCGCCATTACATCATGTTGTCACATGTTGCATTTACCTTGTCATCAATTTAACTTTCACATATACAAGTGCAACACATCACCCTCATAATTCTTCTAAAAAGAAGTTCTAGTTGCTATGCAAGAACTGATGTGGCATACCACTAGTGCAAGTCATGGACTGATCAATGGCAAGTGAGGTTTTGAAAATCTATAAAAGCATTCTAAGTCCTAGGATGAATGTAGGTGCAACAAAATTTTCCATAATTCAACAGAATCTTATTTTCTCATATTTCTGTCACAGTACCATGTATTCACAGGCCAAGGGAAAAAGAAAATCAAAAGTTGGTTGCATATTTGTAGTATTTCTTATATCAAATATCGACGACATTATGCAGGAAACACAATTCAATGGTGTAAATGGTACGCCAAGACAAGAGGGGTTGCTCTGATGGTAAGCAACCTCCACATCCAACCAAGAGGTCGTGAGTTCGAGTCTCCCCAAGAGCAAGATGGGAAAGTTCTTGAAGGGAAGGATGCCGGGGGTCTATTTGGAAACAGGTTGTTGTAAATGGTACGCCAAGCCAATGGGCTGGTTTCCTGTTGAATCCTAAAACTTCAACAGTTTTACGTGGTTGTCAGCCCATCAAAGATTCCGATATCAGGATAATCCCGAGCACATTTAAATTAGATGATCTGGTCTAAAGTTGGACCAGAGATTGCAGTAAAGGGAGTTTTTATCATGAAAATTATAACTTTGAGAGTTTCAAATGCCACTGACATTCGGCAGGAACTAAACTGTAGCTGATCAGGACGTAAGGATATTAAACACAAAAGGCAGAATAGCCTAAATGGCACTTATACTTGTGCCACTTTGTCATCCCGGTCCCCAAACTTAATGAAGTTTCATCTAGACACCTCTACTCGTTCAAAAGTAATATTATAAACCCTTTTGACCATTGACCAAGCCTATGTGGCATTTGCTTTGCTGAGTTGGATAAAATGCGTGACTACACGCTTTAAGAAGAGTAAAAGTTTATGATTCTAACTAAAAATACCAAAAAATAAAAAGAAAAGAAAAAATAAAGGGGGTTAACGCCGAGAAGCATTCAAGCGTCTTCCAATCTCCAATTTTCTTTTCCTTCTACCCTTTTCTCCTCTCAACTTTTCCTCTTTTTTTTTGACGTCGTGCTCAAAGGTGGTATAGGAGATTGTATCTTTTTCTTTCTTTTTTGCTTGTTATTACGGTTTTGGTAGCGGTTGTGCTTGAGATTTTAGAAAGTCTTAATTTTGGGGAGGTATTGTTAGAGCTAGTGATGTTTGTGGGGTTCATATGGATTGTTGTTCTTGTTGGGGTGTTGGTGGGATGGGTATGGAAGCTCAAGTGGGCTAATCTTGCCCTGATTCTTTTGATTCACCAGATGTCTTTTGCCTTTTCTTCTTCCGGTATGCTCCTCCAGAACTTGTAATCTGGGTTTGATTCCCTCAATCCTCTCAAATTGCAACTTTCCACCGGCATTTCTTGAATCAAGGAAACTCAGTCCCTACTAATGGCTGATTTTCAGAGAGAGAAAGGCATGAATGTGTTTGTGAGAGAAAACTTTAGGATTCAACTTTTTCTTTTCCAAAAATAATTTTTGTGAATAAAAATAATGACATGGAATATTTTTATCTGATGTGGATAATACAGTGAGACGATTGAGGAACACACACGGTCAGAAGGGTTTAAAATATTACTTTTGAACGAGTAGAGGTGTCTAAATGAAACTTCATTAAGTTTGGGGACCGGGATGACAAAGTGGGACAAGTATAAGTGCCATTTAGGCTATTCTGCCAATATGAAATAAACTTTTAAAAGGTAAAAAAGGCTAACGGCATTTTGCTAAGGGCGTTCGTGATATATATATAGTATATATATATGAAATTTTACCTCCTATAGCAAAGTTTTGCACCCTATCTATTATAAACAAAAACTCTTTTAAAATATTATTTTCTATAGCTACCTTTTTAGTTTTCATAGCAAAAATATGTATTTATGGTCACTTTCTACCGTTAAGCCATTAAGTACGTTGTCTAATATTTTTCTCTCTCATTCTTTCAGTTTATTCTCCCCCAACATCACGCATAGTATCTTATTTCTCTCTCCTCTATCTCTCTCTCCACGATCTGATTTCCTCCGACAGACGGTCTATAATGGCATCAATTTCCGCTCTTTCATTGTTTTTCATTATTATCTCTTTCTGCCTCACTTCGGTGACCATTTTCATCCAATCCGACGGTCATGAAACTTTCATCATTCACGTTTAATTGGAAATTTCATCATTAAAGCTTTTGGATTTTTGGCCGGTTAAAGCTTCTTCTTTTTCTCTTCAACAATTTGTTTTGAATATTCACCATTGTAAGGTTTTCTGCAAAATACTCACAAAAGCACTCAATTTCGAAGGGTCGTCTTTCGATTTGCAAATCACTCAAGATGAACCTCTATTTGCAAGGTCATCAGCAACCATTGAAGCCGAAAGGAGAACAAAAATACGCAATTAATGACCCTAATTGTAGATGTATTTATATGTATTCGAATCCGCATACATTGAGTTTTAGTTGCTACAGTGATTTTCTCTTCTTGTATTTATATGTATTCGATAAGGCATACACTGAATTTTATTTTGTACAATGATTTTTGACTGTTGTATTTAGATGTATTTATATGTATTTGAGTTCTCACAACAACATTTTTAAATACATTGTTAGTTCCATGTAATGACCCAAGGGGTCATCTCTTTGTTTTAGAATCCCATTCCGTGTTCCGAGGCCTTAAGAAAAGATGATTTTTGGCTTAAAAAGATGATTAGTTGACTTCGGTCAATATTTTTGGGTAAATGGACCCGGACCCGTGTTCTAACGGTCTCGGAGAGTCCGTAGAGAAATATAAAACTTGGGCGTATGCCCGAAATTGAATTCCGAGGTCCCTAGTCCGAGAAATAAATTTTTGAAGAAAATTGTTAACTGAAAAATATAATGGTTTTTGGAAATTGAATAATGTTTGATATTGTTGGTATCGGGCCCGTATTTTGGTTCCGGAGCCCGGTACAAGTCCGTTATGATATTCATACCCTATCTGTTTAATCTGGTGAAAATTGGAAGTGATTTGACGTGATTCGGACCAGGTTCAGAAAATAGAAAGTTTGAACTATCTTGAAAATTTCATGTGTTTTGGTGTTGAATTCAGTGAGTTTTGGATAGGCTACGAAATGATTTAGGACTTAGGAAATATTGCCGGTATGCTTCAGCTGTTGCAGGCCTCTGATCTCGCAATTGCGAGCCAAACAGGAATGGCAATTGCGAGGTCTTCATCGCAATTGCGAATAAGGCCTTGGGCAGCAGGGTTCGCAAATGCGAACCAACCTTCGCAAATGCGAAGTAGTCAGAGAAGGGGGAATCATCGCAATTGCGACAGTATCAGAAATGCGGCAGGTTCGCATTTTTAACGCTTGTCTCGCATTTGCGAGCTTCGCAATTACAAAGCTCTGGTCGCAAATGCGATATCTGCAACTGTGCAAAAAGGGACTTAGACGGGATTTTTCACTCATTCTCCCATTTTTCAAACCTAAACTTCAAGAGGCGATTTTCCAAAGACCATTTCTTCCCCAGATTATAGGTAAATGATTCTTAATTTATTTCTTTCAATCTATTTCATCTTTGTACAATATTTCATCTTAGAATCTAGGGTTTTTCATGGTGGAATGGGGTGTTTATGGGTAGAACCTAGGAATTTCAAAATTTGGGGATTTGGACCTTAATTTGACATCGAATTCCAAATTGTATATCCAGGCTCGGGTGTGAATGGGTAATCGGGTTTTGGTCCGAATTTCGAGTTTTGACCAAGTGGGGCCAGGGTCGATTTTTGACTTTTTGGGCAAAATGTTGGGAAATCTATAATTATGCATTGGAATTGGTTTCTTTAGCGTTTATTGATGTTATTAAGTTAAACATGGCTAGATATGAGTGAATTGGTGGTGGAATCAAGAGGTAAAGCGGTATTTGAGCTGTGAATTACCCGTTGGCTTAAGGTAAGTGTTTGGTCTAACCTTGATTTGAGGGATTAGGGATCCCCGACTTGCTTGCTATGTGAAATACCATGTGTGTGGCGTATAGGTGTGGTAACGAGCACCTATGCGTCGCCAAATTACTTGTTTAGCCTGTTCCCTTGCCCTGTTTCCCTATATTTTGCTCTCCTATTTTACTTGCTACTTGCTTACTGATGTTTCCATGTCTAATTGCTTCTTGTTTAATATTGTTTCTCTATTGGTGTTGTAAATTGTTCCATTGTTCCATTATATTACAATGTTGGTTTATTGGTGCACATTGGTTGCTCTGGCTGTGTAGTTTTAACTGGTGAAGTTCATAATTGTAATGATATTCCCTTGTGTTGGTTTGAGGCATAAGTATTGTGGAGGATTTGAGTTAACTTGTGAAACACTTGCCTCTATTTTGTGACTGGTGCTGATATATATATATATATATTGGGATCGGGTTGCCCGCCGTAACAGGAGTAATAAGGGTGAATGTGATTGTCTGGTGGGATCGGGTTGCACGCCGCAACAAGGAGTAATAAGGTGGACAGGTGGGATCAGGTTGCACGCCGCAATAGGAGGAATAAGGGTGATATATTGAGGAGTAATAAGGGTGGACTGGTGGGATCGGGTTGCACGCCGCAACAAGGAGTAATAAGGGTGAATGATTATATTATTATTGATTATATGGTGGGATAGTGATGCGCGCCGCATTATTTGTTGTTTATGTATTCATATTCTGCTGAGGTTCATGATTGTGGTGTTGATATTCCCTTAAGGACTGGTTATAGCTGAGTATTGGTAGAACGACCGGATTTCGTATTCATTTAATGCAAGTTACTGTTTTATTTCATTCTGTATTTCCTTTCGATTTTAGTATAAACTGTTGCAGGTTATATATATTGTTATGCCACGCCGTAGCCTCGTCACTACTTCGTCGAGGTTAGGCTCGGCACTTACCAGTACATGGGGTCGGTTGTACTGATATTGCACTCTGCACTTTCTGTGCAGATTTCGAAGCTAGTGGCTGATCGAGAGTTGGTTGCTTTCATTGCACTCAGGAGACCCAAGGTAGTCCTGCAGGCGTCCGCAGGCCTTGGCGTCCCCTCCTATCTTTACTTCATTCTGTTTTACTTTTCTCCGAGACAGGTGTATATTTTTCTTTCAAACCAATACTTGTAGTATTCGTAGATTGTTCGTGAATTGTGACACCAGTTTCTGAGTGGTATTTATTTCTGTTTTCGTTATTAGTATAGAGTAATTAGTTAAATCATCTACTTTCGCTTTTATTTCCGCTGATTTAGTTCCTGTTAAATTTTAATTATAAAATGATAAAGGAAAATGGTGTAATATTCTGTAACGTTGGCTTGCCTAGCGAGTTCAGTGTTAGGCGCCATCACGGTCTCGAAGGTGGGAAATTCGGGTAGTGACAAGTTGGTATCAGAGCATTAGGTTGCCTAGGTCTCACAATTCACGAACAAGCTTGGTAGAGTCTGAGGGATCGGTACGGAGACGTCTGTGCTTATCCCTCAAAGGCTACTGAGTTAGGAACAAATTCACTTCTATTCATCTCTGTCGTGCGGTTTGATCTCTCAATGCTAATTGAACTTCTACTCTATTCTTTCGCAGATGGCGAGAACACATACCGCTTCATCAGTTGATCAGCAGCCCGAGCCCCAGTGGCAGCTCCTACGAGGGGCAGAGGACGAGGCTGAGGCCGTGCTAGAGGCCGAGGCAAGGGCAGGGCTCAGCCCAGAGATCAAGCAGCAGCACCAGCGGCGGAGCCTCAGGTTGAGTTTGATGATGAGGTTCCGGCCCAGACCGTTCCAGCAGGCCCAGCTCAGGTTCCAGAGGGTTTCATAGCTACCCCGGTACTCCAGGATGCTCTGGTCCGTCTAGTGGGCCTTATGGAGAGTGTTACTCAGGCAGGCATACTTCCAGTAGCACCAGCCGTCTCTTGCACTTGGGGAGGAGCACACACTCCCACTACTCACACTCCGGAGCAGATGGTTCCCCAATTTCAGACTCCAGCAGCTCAGCCAGTTGGGGCAGTCCCGCCAGGTGTTGTAGCGCAGACCGGTGATGGATCAGCTATGTCTCGGATGCTTTGTGGAGGTTGGAGAGGTTCACCAAGATTTTCACTACTACCTATAGCGGTACATCTTCAAAGGATCCCCAGGACTATTTGGACAGCTGCCATGAGGTTCTACAGAACATGGGGATAGTGGAGACCAATGGGGTCGACTTTGCTACTTTTCGTCTGTCAGGTTCCGCCAAGAAATGGTGGAGAGATTATTGTTTGGCCAGACCAGCTGGGTTACCAACTCTCACCTGGGACCAGTTCTCGCAGCTATTCTTGGAGAAGTATCTTCCGATTACTCAGAGAGAGGACTATCGGAGGCAGTTTGAGCGCCTTCAGCAGGGTTCTATGACCATCACTCAGTACGAGACCAGATTTGTGGACTTGGCCCGTCATGCTCTTCTTATACTTCCCACCGAGAGAGAGGGGGTGAGGAGGTTTATTGAGGGACTTGCTCAGCCTATCAGATTGCAGATGGCTAAGGAGACAGGGAGTGAGATTTCTTTCCAGGATGCAGCCAATATGGCCAGACGAGTTGAGATGGTTTTAGCTCGGGGAGTGGTTAGGGGTCCGACAAGAGGCCTCGTCACTCCGGTGGATTCAGTGGGACCTCATCTGGAGATCGAGGTACTTTTGGTAGAGGCCATCATCCTAGTTCGTTTCATTCAGCGCTTCAGGCATCCCATGGAGCTTCACGGGGTCGTGGTCCTTATGTACCTCCTGCAGAGCATCCAGATTATAGTGCACCACCAGCTCCCATCAGAGCACCTCCTTTTCAGGGTTATTATCGCGTCAGCCAGCCCGTCAGGGTCAGTCTCAATTTCCCGAGCAGCAGTATTTAGATAGATTTTTTGAGTGTGGTGAGTATGGCATATCCGGAGGACTTGTCCGAGACTAGTGGGTGTTCAGTCGCAGCAGCAGAGTTCTCGTGCCATGATTCCAGCACCACCTACCCAGCCAGCTAGAGGTAGGGGTCAGGGAGTCAGAGGTAGGGGTCAGCCCGCTAGAGGTGGAGATCAGGCCGCTAGAGGTGGAGGTCAGCCAGCAGGAGGTTGTCGCAGGATATGGTTCAGGGTGGTGGGGCCCAGCCCCGATGTTATGCTATTCCAGCCAGGCCTGAGGTTGAGTCCTCCAATGCAGTTATCACAGGTACGGTTGCAGTTTGCAGTAGAGATGTTTCAGTTCTATTTGATCCAGGGTCTCCATACTCCTATGTGTCATCTTATTTCGCTCCATATTTGGTTGTGCATCATGATTTTTTGAGTGCTCCCGTATATGTGTCCACGCTAGTAGGGGATTCTATTATTGTAGACCGTGTCTATCATTTGTGTGTGGTTGTTATTGGGGGTCTTGAGACTAGTGTAGATCTTCTACTTCTCAATATGGTGGATTGCGATGTCATTTTGGGGATGGATTGGTTGTCACCTTACCATGCTATATTTAACTGTCATGCCAAGACCGTGACCTTAGCCTTGCTGGGGTTGCCTCGATTGGAGTGAAGAGGGACTCCTGGTCATTCTATCAGTAGGTTATTTCTTATATGAAGGCTCGGCGTATGGTCGAGAAGGGTTGTTTGGCTTATTTGGCTTATGTTCGTGATTCTAGTGCTGAGGTTCCTTCTATGGATTCCGTACCAGTTGTTCGGGAGTTTCCAGAGGTATTTCCTGCAGACCCGCCGGGGATGCCACCTGACAGAGATATTGACTTTTGCATTGATTTGGCTCCGGGCACTCAGCCCATTCCTATTCCGCCCTATAGTATGGCCCCGCCAGAGTTGAAAGAATTGAAGGAGCAGTTGTAAGACTTGCTTGATAAGGGCTTCATTAGACCTAGTGTCCTGCCCTGGGGTGCGCCGGTGTTTGTTAAGAAGAAGGATGGATCGATGAGGATATACATAGATTATCGGCAGTTGAACAAAGTCACCATCAAGAACAAGTATCCATTGCCAAGGATTGATGATTTATTTGATCAGCTTCAGGGTGCCAAGGTGTTCTCGAAGATTGATTTGACATCTGGCTATCATCAGTTGAGGATTAGGGCTTCTGATGTCCCTAAGATAGCTTTTCGCACTCGGTACGGGCATTATGAGTTTCTAGTGATGTCATTTGGGTTGACAAATGCCCCAGCAACATTTATGGATTTGATGAACCGGGTGTTCAATCCCTATCTGGATTCCTTCGTGATTGTTTTCATTGATGAGATTTTGATCTACTCCCGCAGCCGAGAGGAGCATGAACAGCATCTCCGGATCGTTCTTCAGACTTTGAGAGACAGTCAGTTATATGCTAAGTTTTTGAAATGCGAGTTTTGGTTGAGTTCAATTGCTTTCTTGGGTCATGTTGTATCATCAGAGGGTATTTAGGTGGATCCTAAGAAGATTGAGGCAGTCAAAGACTGGCCTAGACCCACATCAGCTACAGAGATCGGAAGTTTCTTGGGTTTGGCGGGTTATTACCGTCGGTTTGTGGAGGGATTTTCATCCATAACAGCCCCGATGACCAGGTTGACCCAGAAGGGTGCCCCGTTCAGGTGGTCGGACGAGCGTAAGGCGAGCTTTTAGAAGCTCAAGACAGCTTTGACTTCGGCATCGGTGTTGGTGTTACCTACAGGCTCATGGCCATATACGGTATATTGTGACGCATCTCGTATTGGACTTGGTGCGGTGTTGATGCAGAATGGCAAGGTTATTGTATATGCTTCGCGGCAGTTGAAGATTCACGAGAAGAATTATCCAATTCATGATTTGGAGCTAGCAGCCATTGTTCACGCGCTGAAGATTTGGAGGCATTATCTATATGGCGTGTCGTGTGAGGTGTTCACGGATCATAAGAGTTGCAGTACTTGTTCAAGCAGAAGGGGCTAAATTTGAGGCAGAGAAAGTGGTTGGAGCTATTGAAAGACTATGATATCACCATGTTGTATCATCTCGGGAAGGCCAATGTGGTGGCCGATGCTTTGAGTAGGAAGTCGTCTAGTATGGGTAGCCTTGCGTATATTCCAGTCGGTGAGAGATCGCTTGCTTTGGATGTTCAGCCTTTGGCCAATCAGTTCGTGAGGTTGGATGTCTCTGAGCCCAGCCGTGTTCTAGCTTGTACACTCTCTCGGTCTTCATTATTTGAGCGTAATAGAGATTGGCAGTATGATGATCCTTATTTGATTTGTCCTTAGGGACACAGTGCGGCACGGAGGTGCCAAGCAGGTTACAGTCGGAGATGACGGGGTTCTGAGGATGCAGGGTCAAGTTTGTGTGCCTAATGTGGATGGACTTCTTGAGTTGATTTTAGAGGAGGCCCATAGTTCCCGGTATTCTATTCATCCGGGCACCATCAAGATGTATCGGGACTTGCGGCTGCATTATTGGTAGAGGAGGATGAAGAAGGATATTGTTGCATATGTAGCTCGGTGTTTGAACTGTCAGCAGGTAAAGTACGAGCATCAGAGACCTGGTGGTTTGCTTCAGAAGATTGAGATTCCTGAGTGGAAGCGGGAGCGTATCACTATGGATTTTGTTGTTGGACTCTCATGGACTCAGAGGAACTTCGATATAGTATGGGTTATTGTTGATAGGCTGACTAAGTCAGCGCATTTCATTCATGTGGCAGTTTCCTATTCTTCGGAGCGGTTGGCTGAGATCTATATCCGCGAGATCGTTCGTCTTCATAGTGTGCCCGTGTCCATCATTTTTGATCGAGGTACGCAGTTTTCCTCGCATTTCTGAAGGGCAGTATAGCGTGTGTTGGGTACGCGGGTCAAGTTGAGCACATCATTTCATCCTCAGACGAACGGACAGTCCGAGCGTACTATTCAGATTTTGGAGGACATGCTCCGCGCCTGTGTTATTGACTTTGGAGGTTCCTGGGATCAGTTTTTGCCGTTAGTGGAGTTTGCCTACAACAACAGCTAGCAGTCGAGCATCCAGATGGCTCCTTATGAGGCATTATATGGTAGATAGTGTCGATTGCCAGTTGGGTGGTTTGAGCCGGGAGAGGCTCGGTTGTTGGGTAATGATTTAGTACAGGATGCCTTGGATAAGGTTAAGATCATTCAGGATAGGCTTCATTCAGCTCAGTCCAGGCAAAAGAGTTATGCCCACCGTAAGGTTCGTGATGTGGCATTCATGGTCGGAGAGCGAGTGTTGCTTCGAGTGTCGCCCATGAAGGGCGTGATGAGGTTTGGGAAGAAGGGCAAGCTAAGCCTTAGGTTCATCGGGCCTTTTGAGATCCTTGATCGAGTGGGAGAGGTGGCTTACAGACTTGCATTGCCGCCAGGTTTATCAGTTGTGCATCCAGTGTTTCATGTGTCCATGCTTCGGAAGTATCACGGCGATCCATCCCACGTGTTAGACTTCAACACTGTCCAGTTAGACAGGGATTTGACCTACGAGGAGGAGCTGGTAGCTATTCTAGACCGGCAGGTTCGTCAGTAAAGATCGAAGAGTTATCCTTCGGTTCATGTGCAGTGGAGAGGCCAGCCTGTTGAGGCAGCTACCTGGGGTTCGAGTCCGATATGCGGAGCAGATATCCCCATCTTTTCACCGACTCAGGTACTTTTCTATATCCGTTCGAGGACGAACGATTGTTTTAGAGGTGGAGAATGTGATGACCCAAAGGGTCATCTTTTTGTTTTAGAATCCGATTCTGTGTTTCGAGGCCTTAAAAACCTCCATTTATCTCTCCTCGATTTATGTGCACAGTCCGGCCGCGTATCTGGAAAGCTTTTGTGTGAAAAATTTAAGAAAAGATGATTTTTGGCTTAAAAAGATGATTTTAAGTGACTTCGGTCAACATTTTGGGTAAACGGACCCGGACCCGTGTTCCAACGGTCCGGGAGGGTCCGTAGAAAAATATGGGACTTGGGCGTATGCCCGGAATTGAATTCTGAGGTCTCTAGTCCGAGAAACAAATTTTTAAAGAAAATTGTTAACTGAAAAATATAATGATTTTTGGAAATTGAATAATGTTTGATATTGTTGGTATCTGACCCGTATTTTGGTTCCGGAGCCCGGTACAGGTTCGTTTATGATATTCATACCCTATCTTTGAAATCTGGTAAAAAACGGAAGTGATATGACGTGATTCGGACCTTTGGTTGAGAAAATAGAAAGTTTGAACTATCTTGAAAATTTCATATGTTTTGGTATTGAATTCATAGTTCTAGACGTTATTTTGGCGATTTGATCGCGCGAGCAAGTTCGTATGATGTTTTAAGACTTGTGTGCATGTTTGGTTTGGAGCTTCGAGGGCTCGGGTGAGTTTTGGATAGGCTATGGAATGATTTTGGACTTAGGAAATATTGCTGGTATGCTTCAGCTATTGCATTGCGAGATCAGGCGTCGCAATTGCGAGCCAGACAGGAATGGCAATTGCAAGGTCTTCATCGCAATTGCGAAGAAGTCCTGGGCCAGCAGGGTTCGCAAATGCGAACCAACCTTCGCAAATACGAAGTAGTCAGGGAGAGGGAATCATCGCAATTGCGACCAAAAGTTCGCAACTGCGACAGTAGCAGAAATGCGGCAGGTTCGCATTTGCGATGCCTGTCTCGCATTTGCGAGCTTCGCAATCGCAAAACTCTGGTCTCACAAATGCGACATCTGCAACTGTGCAAAAAGGGAATTAGACGGGATTTTTCACTCATTCTCCCATTTTTCAAACCTAAACTTCAAGAGGCGATTTTCCAAAGACCATTTCTTCCCAAATCATAGGTAAATGATTCTTAACTTATTTCTTTCAATCTATTTCGTTTTTTACAAGATTTCATCTTAGAATCTAGGGTTTTTCATGGTGGAATCGGGTGTTTTTGGGTAGAACCTAGGAATTTCGAAATTTGGGAATTTGGACCTCAATTTGCGGTCATATTCCAAAAACAATTGTATATCCGGTCTTGGGGGTGAATAGGTAATCGGGTTTTGGTCCGAATTTCGAGTATTGACCAAGCGGGGTCGGGGTCGATTTTTAACTTTTTGGGGAAAATGTTGGGAAATCTATAATTATGCATTGGAATTAGTTTCTTTAGGGTTTATTGATGTTATTAAGTTAAACATGGCTGGATACGAGTAGATTGGTGGTGGAATCAAGAGGTAAAGCGGTATTTGAGCTATGAATTACCCGTTGGCTTGAGGTAAGTGTTTGGTCTAACCTTGACTTGAGGGATTAGGGATCCACGACTTGCTTGCTATGTGAAATACCATGTGTGTGGCGTATAGGTGTGGTGACGAGCACGTATAGCCTGTTCCCTTGCCCCATTTCCCTATATTTTTCTCTCATGTTTTACTTGCTACTTGCTTACTGATGCTTCCATGTCTAATTGCTTATTGTTTAATGTTGTTTCTCTATTGGTGTTGTAAATTGTTCCATTGTTCCATTATATTACACTGTTGGTTTATTGGTGCTTCATGGTGCACTTTGGTTGGTCTCGCTGTGTAGTTTTAACTGGTGAAGTTTCATAATTGTAATGCTATTACCTTGTGTTGGTTTGAGGTATAAGTGTTGTGGAGGATTTGCGTTAACTTGTGAAATATTTGTCTCTATTTTGTGACTGGTGCTGATATATATATTGGGACCGGGTTGCAAGCCGCAACAGGAGTAATAAGGGTGAATGTGATTGTCTGGTAGGATCGGGTTGCACGACGCAACAAGGAGTAACAAGGGTGGACAAGTGGAATCGGGTTGCACGCCGCAACAAGAGGAATAAGGGTGATATATTGAGGAGTAATAAGGGTAGACTGGTGGGATCGGGTTGCACGCCACAACAAGGAGTAATAAGGATGAATGATTATACTGTTATTGATTATATGGTGGGATCGGAATGTGCGCCGCATCATTTGTTGTTTATGTATTCATATTCTGGTGAGGTTCCGGATTGTGGTGTTGATATTCCCTTAAGGACTGGTTATAGCTGAGTATATTGGTAGAACGACCGGATTTCGTATTCATTTAATGCAAGTTACTGTTTTATTTCATTCTGTATTTCCTTTCGGTTTTAGTATAAACTGTTGCAGGTTATATATATTGTTATGCCCCGCCGTAGCCTCGTCACTACTTCGTCGAGGTTAGGCTCGGCACTTACCAGTATATGGGGTCGGTTGTACTGATACTGCACTCTGCATTTTCTGTGCAGATTTCGAAGCTAGTGGTTGATCGAGAGGTTGGTTGCTTTCGCTGCACTCAGGAGACCCAAGGTAGTCCCGCAGGCGTCCGCAGGCCCTGACATCCCCTCCTATCTTTACTTCATTCTGTTTTACTTTTCTACGAGACATATGTATATTTTTCTTTCAAACCAATACTTGTAGTATTCGTAGACTGTTCGTGAATTATGACACCAGTTTCTGGGTGGTATTTATTTCTACGTTCGTTATTAGTATAGAGTAATTAGTCAAAGCATGTACTTTCGCTTTTATTTCCGCTGATTTCCTGTTTAATTTTAATTATAAAATGATAAAGGAAAATGGTGTAATATTCTGTAACGTTGGCTTGCCTAGCGAGTGCAATGTTAGGCGCCATCACGGCCCCGAAGGTGGGAAATTCGGGTCGTGACATTCTATCATTTTGATGTTATTCATCAATTAGTTATGCATTCAATCTAACTGTATTCATCTGTATTTTCAACCTAACTGTACCCATCCGTATTTCAAAAAATAATACTGTGAAATACAGTAAAATACTCTCAATACAAATAAAAAATCAATGAATACAACCAATGAAATATACTCAATAAAGCAGTAATACCATGTATTAGGAATAAATAAAATATTGTGAATACAAATAAACTTGAATATATTGAACACGACTGTTAGATACAACATAATGCAAGCACTAGGTTTATTACGAAATATGCAGGCAGTAGGTTACTATTACAGGTTGTATCCGGCATAGATACATGATGTATTCATATACAGAAAATCGAATTTCAAAATATTTCTGTAGATACTTGTATCAAATCCCAGCAGAACTTCGAACAATGTCAGGAAAAAAAATCGAAATGTATCAGAAAAAAGAAGAGGGACTGAAACTCTGAAGAATGCTTTGTTTTTTGGTGTTTAGTGTCTGATAATCTTCTCATTAATTGGATTGATAATGTTGTGTGTTATAATTGATTTAGGTGAGTTATATTAGGAGTGTATCCCGTTAAATTAGCAGCTTTCCGCTATTAAATAACTAGAGAGACTTATTATTACGTTGTATTCATAAATACATGGTATGAATACATGTGAATACAGCGGCTGACAGCTGGACTGCCCTATTTTTTAACCGATTTTTGCTACTGTATTCAAATATATCGAATACATTACCATAACAACTGAAAGGTAGCTACAGAAAATAATTATGTATATAGTAGCTATAGAAAGTTAATAGTCACTAAACAATAGTCATTTCTAAAAATTCCTCATATGTGAGGAGCACGTTGTTTTGATATTGTTATCCAATAACAAAAATTCGAACATCAGCACACGATTCACTCATATTAAAACCACACGTGCCTACACTATAGTCTTTCTATTTCCTTTCGTACAACTACAGTATCCAGCAAAAAAAAAAAATAGAGATATTAAAATATCAATAATTGGTTATAATATCGTATGTGCTTTATGTTAATTATCGATTTTGTGGGTGAATATTATACTGAAATATTCTTTATTTAGCTATTTCTGGCCTCTGGGGTCACTTAAAGTTAACTGTACATGGATGATTTCACAGAGCTAATTATGTGGCAATTGTAGACTAACTAAAGATTGACTGATGATTAATATCTCATACTTATGAACTGGAGCTCTTCATCATTGTTTCATTACATGTTCAGTTGTCAATTGTGGCAACTGATAGAAAAGTGGAAAAAAAATTGAAAAATCCTTATTAACTTCAACTTTTTAATATTTTTTGTCAAATAAAGAAGTATAATTATAAGGCTTTTACACTTGAACTAAATACAAACTCATACTCTTTATCACACATTGTTATTCATATATTGCATTTGAACATTAATATACTTCACTTTTTCAAGACTCCACCTCATCCTCTAAACCACGACTATGATATATCATTCAAATAGTATAAAAATAAATATTTAAATAGTAAACACTGATGATATTAAAAAATTTACACTAGTAATTCAAATTATCATGTTATAATAATTTATTGGAATAGCATATCAAACTTGTTATGAAGATTTATCTATTATTAAATTTTGATTTTACCTAAAAACACAAGATGATCAATTATAGAAAGAGAAAAAAAAAGATTGAAAATGGGTACAAATAAAAATAAAAGAATATTAGGAACCAAATTGAGAAATAGCAGCTCCCACGCTGTCGCCAGAATTTGTCCAATTTCAGCCCCTTTTCTTTTCCTTTCCCTCTAAAATATCTTAAAAGAACAGAAAAGTAAAAAAGAAAATTCAGAAAACAGATCATTTTGTTCACGAAACACGAAGCAGCCAAATCAAACCAAACAAGAAACAGAAAACTAGAACTAGGGTTCCCAAATTCTCTCCCGGTATTTTCGATTTCCCTCTTTTTTCCCGTGAAAATCTTTTTAACTTTCCCGGGAATATTTGAGCTCCGTTTTCTCAGCTTCAGTTCCTTTTTCTTTTCCAATTCCAGGTTCCCTAATGTTACTCTCTCTTCTTTTTGGTTACGCTAATTTTTCTAACTCTGATTTGATTTGATTGTCAATCATTTTCTTTTTTACAGGATTTCGTATTTGAGGGAAAAGGGCAAACTCTTACACATATATATTTTCGAAGGGAGGGATTTTCGTGATATTTTTCATTGTACTAATTTATGGGATATGTCCTGATTTAGGGTTTAAAGTAGTTTTTATTGGTAGTCGATGGATTCTGCAAATACGACCCCGTCAACCAGTGAGGTCAAATGTTGTGAATGCGAGTGTAATTGTTCTATAACAAACGGGTCCTTTTCGGGGACTTGGATTCGGACAGTGAAGCGAAAATTGGACGAATATGATGAAATTGAGAAGAAATTTGTGATCCCGGGTCTGATTTTGCCTCAAACAGCTCGTATAAACATGGAGAACGAGTGTGTTGCTCTTAGGGAAATGGTTGGTAGCCAACAGGAGACAATTCAAGAACTGAGTGTCGAGTTGGAGGAAGAGAGGAATGCGGCTTCCTCAGCTGCTAACGAAGCCATGTCGATGATCTTGAGGTTGCAAAGGGAAAAAGCCGAGTCACAAATGGAGTTTAGGCAGTTCAAGATGTTCACGGAGGAGAAAATGGCGCATGATCAGCAGGAGATAATGGCGTTGGAGGATTTTTTGTATAAGAGGGAGGAGACGATCCAGTCGTTGACTTGTGAGGTGCAAATGTATAAGCATAGGATGTTGAGTTATGGGCTCTTGGAGTCTGAGGTTGAGTATGATGGTGAGATAGAGAAGGTTCATTATGGCCGAAATGATAGTGTCAGCGAGGGCATCGATGAGCGTTTTGAAATTTCTTTGTATGATTACCCTCCCTTGAAATGCACTATTAATGAGAACCAAGTGTACACAGAGGTGGATAATGAGGTTGTGGATGTTGAGAAATGTGCATTCGGAGAGACCCCACGATCATGTGATCAATTGCGAGATTTGGATCAGAGGATCAATCAGTTAGAATTGATGCCAAGTAGTCAGACTGATGGGGAAGTATTTAGTAACAATGTCCTTGAAAAAGCAATAGTCACTCAATTCCCTCCCGTGACAAATAAAGAAATAAGCTCTGATTTTATCTCAGGTTCTCCGAAGTTTGGTGGAAGTGTTGGAAAAGCAGAAAATTTGCAAACAGAGGAGTATGGGAACTTGAGGGAGGTGGACGAATCATCGGAAGTTGGAGGTGAAATGAACGACAGAGTGTATACAATTGACTCTATACATCAGGGTTCTGGTTATAATGGTACCTCAGAGCCCAAGGCTTCTGCAGGAATAGGTGATGGGCATACCCCAAGAGATTCGCTGAATCATACTGATTTTGGAGATCCCGAGGTCACGAAGCTGTACCTTAGGCTACAGGCCCTCGAGGCTGATCGGGAATCAATGAGGCAGGCTATCGTTTCTATGCGGACTGATAAAGCACAGCTGATATTGCTTAAAGAAATTGCTCAGCAGTTGTGCAAAGAAATGTCTCCAGCAAGGAGGACGCCTGGGAGGAAGACATCGGTAGTCACGAGCTTTTCATTCATTTCAATATTCAAGGTACCATGTTACTTGTGATTATACATTTTCTGTGCTCAATAAATTCATTTTCACATATCAAAGTATGTGTTGCATATGATATGTGTCCTATGTTAAAAGCATTGTTCTAGATGATTGCAAGCACAGTAGGAGCAACTGTTGTATCATGATACTTTGAAAAGTCTTTCCTGATCAGTTTTCTGGAATAAAACTGTAATATCTTATGCTAAGCTGAAAGGAGGCCATATCATTGCCCCAAAGGCTTTGCTCTAATGGTAAGAATGCAGTGTGTGATGTGTGGGTTAAGTGTGCATCACGTGTTCGAACACTTCTGTAGACAAAAGTCTGGTATCTAAGTGAAGGGTAGAGAAGCAAGGCCCATTATCCATCGAGTTCGTGCGTCACCGGCTTTCTCTGTTATTAAAAAAAGGAAAGGGGCCCATATCACTGATTACATCAGCAATTTCAATTCGAACTATAAATTGGTATACGTGTGGAAGATATTATTATTATTAAGGCGGCATATCTTTGATGCATATGATATCAGTAATGATGATTTCCTATCATGGTCTAAATAGGAAGGATACTGATTAGGTTCCTAGAAATGTTCTGGAGCTCCATTTTCCTGTATGCTGAGCCACTTTGCCAGACCTTACCTCTTCTTTTTTATCTTCCTTAATTTCCATTGCTTTGAACCACTACATCTCAGCTATTTAGGTTACAGTCCCATGTTAACAGATATTTTTACCATAAGTCTTCTTACCTCGCTTCATCTCAGTTTTACCAATTTTGTTTGTCTATTTCTTACATGATTAAAAAAAAGAAAAAGAAATGCCAAAATATTGTGCCTGAATATGATGTTAAGCATTTTTAATGTATAATAGCCTAATTTACTTATTATTATGACATGGTCTACCAGGCTAAAAATACCAATCGATAAATTGTTATTTATCATACTCCCTATGTTTCAGTTTACT